GCCCTGCCACCCCACAGGCACTGCAGCCTGCCACTCTCTGGCCAATGCCTTCTACTGCCAGTGTCTTCCTGGACACACAGGTGAGGCCCCAGGACAAGGGGCACAAGCATGTCTGGAGCACAGCCGAGCAGACCATGGAGAGCCAGATAGTCTCCACCCATGTGGCAGCCATCACCTGGTCCATCCCCTGCCTCCACGCCCACCCCCACCCAGAAAAGATGCCCTAGGAGCCCTTCACCGGCACATCTAGCACTGGGCCAACATCTAGGAATGGGCTAAGACGGAGGCAGTGACTGATGCAGTGTGTGACGTCTAATCTCCCCCACAATTACAGGCCCATGGTGTGAGGTGGAGATAGACCCCTGCCACAGCCAACCCTGCTTTCATGGAGGGACCTGTGAGGCCACAGCAGGATCACCCCTGGGTTTCATCTGCCACTGCCCCAAGGCAAGTGACCACAAATCTGCCTTCTCTGTTGCCCCCTATACTGACAAAAGGCAAGAATACCTCAGTTGGAATACCAGAAGGGACTGTCGGGGAGCACTGATGTGGAAATTATTGGAAAAAGCCACGCCAAGTTCACAGTGGCAAGTGTCTCTCAGAAGCAGTCAAAGGAAAAGCAGGCAGCTGATAGCATGAATGGAATTTTCAGAAATCACAGGCGTTGCCTAAGGGAAGGTCAGGAGTTCCCCAAGCTCAGGCTGCGTGGTGGGTGGCCTCAGATAGGTTATTTTAACTGTGTGTGTATGTGTATGTATTTATGGGTCTCAGATGATGGAATTAGACTAATCTTAAGCTTTAGTTCCTGATATACTGACATTGGTTTATGCCTGGTCTTCTTTTATTTTATTATTCTAACAATGTAACACCCATGAACCTAACCCAATAATTTCAATATTAATAATAACTTACATCTACTTATGTCCTCCTCCTGTATCCTGTTCCCTCTCTAGAGGAAGAGGAAGACATATGATCCTATTTCTAAGAAGTAAGATAATAATATAAAAACCGGCCGGGCATGGTGGCTCACACCTGTAATCCCAGTACTTTGGGAGGCCAAGGCAGGCGGATCACCTGAGGTCAGGCGTTCGAGACCAGCCTGAAAAACATGGTGAAACCCTGTCTCTACAAAAACATAAAATTAGCTGGGCATGGTGGTGCATGCCTGTAATCCCAGCTATTGGGGAGGCTGAGGCAGGAGAATCGCTTGAACCTGGGAGGCAGAGGTTGCAGTGAGCCGAGATCACACCATTTTGCACTCCAGCCTGGACAACAAGAGTGAAACTCTGTCTCATAATAATAATAATAATAGTAACATTCTATTAACTGTTTAGTCTTCTAGAACTTGCACTGTAATGCCACAGTCCATCAGGTTGTTGCACTCAACTGTGCTTCATCCATTTTCCAAATAATGTAATATGTCATTGTGTGAAATTACCATGGGACATGGTTTCAACATCCACAAAATGATTAACTTGATGCTCTCTGAGGCGCCTTTTAGATATGAGACTGTAGGACCCTCTGCACCATCTTAACCCAACAGTTTGCTTGATGGGGAGTGGGAAGAATAATGCAAGTTCCATCTCCAATATCTCCCCTCCCCTCCACAGGGTTTTGAAGGCCCCACCTGCAGCCACAGGGCCCCTACCTGCGGCCTCCATCACTGCCACCACGGAGGCTTGTGTCTGCCCTCCCCTAAGCCAGGCTTCCCACCACGCTGTGCCTGCCTCAATGGCTATGGGGGTCCTGACTGCCTGACCCCACCAGCTCCTAAAGGCTGTGGCCCTCCCTCCCCATGCCTATACAATGGCAGCTGCTCAGAGACCACGGGCTTGGGGGGCCCAGGCTTTCGATGCTCCTGCCCTCACAGCTCTCCAGGGCCCCGGTGTCAGAAGCCCGGAGCCAAGGGGTGTGAGGGCAGAAGTGGAGATGGGGCGTGCGATGCTGGCTGCAGTGGCCCAGGAGGAAATTGGGATGGAGGGGACTGCTCTCTGGGAGTCCCAGACCCCTGGAAGGGCTGCCCCTCCCACTCTCGGTGCTGGCTTCTCTTCCGGGACGGGCAGTGCCACCCACAGTGTGACTCTGAAGAGTGTCTGTTTGATGGCTACGACTGTGAGACCCCTCCAGCCTGCACGTGAGCCTGAAACCCCCTGGAACCAGGGAAGGAGAGGGGTGGGTGAGAGAAAGAGGAAGGCCGTAGATGGCTCTGAGTTACAGTGTGGCCACAGCCGCGGGCTCCAGGGAGTTTCCACCCTAATAACTATCACTAAATAAGGGTCGAAGACTCTGGACTCCAACCTAGGGTAATGGGGTGGCATCAATACTTAATGTGGGGCGTGGCCTTTGGGCTCCTCTCTGAGGGTTGTGGGAACTCAGGCCTCAAGCCTCCCTCCCTAAGCCTTGCTGCCATGGAGTATCTCCCCTAGCAGTCAGCACCTCACAGAGGGAAAAGGGCCTTGGACTCTCCTTCAGAAACAGAGGACAGCTTGGGAGGGTACAGAGAGGGGACAGTCTAGGGAGACAGGGGTGTTAGCAGACATTGGGGTGTCTGGACTACCATCCAGGACTTGACTAAGCTCATTGCTCCACAGCTGCCCTCTCTTAGCAACCAAAGCCCTGGAGGGCACAAAATATGGGGAATTCTCTCTAGAGTGAAGAGAAGAGTCAGGTTTTAGGGAGGTCCTGAGTCCCCCTCTCCTCACCCCACAGTCCAGCCTATGACCAGTACTGCCACGATCACTTCCACAACGGGCACTGTGAGAAAGGCTGCAACACTGCAGAGTGTGGCTGGGATGGAGGTGACTGCAGGCCTGAAGATGGGGACCCAGAGTGGGGGCCCTCCCTGGCCCTGCTGGTGGTACTGAGCCCCCCAGCCCTAGACCAGCAGCTGTTTGCCCTGGCCCGGGTGTTGTCCCTGACTCTGAGGGTGGGACTCTGGGTAAGGAAGGATCGTGACGGCAGGGACATGGTGTACCCCTATCCTGGGGCCCGGGCTGAAGAAAAGCTAGGAGGAACTCGGGACCCCTCCTATCAGGAGAGATCAGCCCCTCAAACGCAGCCCCTGGGCAAGGAGACCGACTCCCTCAGTGCTGGGTAAGAAGTTAGGTGGAGGGAAGGGCCAGACACCAGTTTTTTTAAGAGGGCAGAGGGAGGGAAGGGAGCCAAGGACCAACACAGAGGTCTCTGAGGTGCCTCCCCTACAGGTTTGTGGTGGTAATGGGTGTGGATTTGTCCCGCTGTGGCCCTGACCACCCGGCATCCCGCTGTCCCTGGGACCCTGGGCTTCTACTCCGCTTCCTTGCTGCGATGGCTGCAGTGGGAGCCCTGGAGCCCCTGCTGCCTGGACCACTGCTGGCTGTCCACCCTCATGCAGGCACTGGTAGGTGACCCCTTGCCACTTTCTCTGACCTCTGTTCCCAGGCCAGCTCTCATGCTAGCAACAGGCAATGGAGGCTGCATCAAACAGGACAACTGAGACTGAAAATGTTCTTTGTGGGGACTTACTTTCCCTAATCCCGCTTTCTCTAATTGAATCTCCCACTGGCCCATTTGTTCTACAGTCTCCTTCCTTATTTCCCTAAGCACATTATCCTAACCTCTGTCATAGCCCTCCAACAAAGGGATGGTTTATCTTCTCTACCAGACTGAGAATATCTAATTGTCTTCGTATCAGACAACTCAGTACATGAAAGAATAATAGGCCGGGCGCAGTGGCTCACGCCTGTAATCCAAACACTTTGGGAGACCAAGGCAGGCGGATCATGAGGTCAGGAGATCGAGATCATCCTGGCTAACACGGTGAAACCCTGTCCCTACTAAAACTAAAAAAAAATTAGCTGGGTGTGGTGGCGGGCGCCTGTAGTCCCAGCTAGTCGGGAGGCTGAGGCAGGAGAATGGCGTGAACCCGGGAGATGGAGCTTGCAGTGAGCCGAGATCGCGCCACTGCACTCCATCCAGCCTGGGCGACAGAGTGAGAGTCCATCTCAAAAAAAAAAAAAAAAAAAAAAAGAACTGCTATATCATACTCACTCTGTGCCTTACTCCAAGCATTTTACATTGTTACCTCATTTAATCCTCCCCCACAACCCCATGAGGCACATACTGCTGGTTGAGTATCCCTCATCTGAAATGCTTGGGAACAAAAGTGTTTCAGATTTCGGATTTTTTTATTTTGGAATATTTGCATTATACTGGTTCAGCATTCCTAATACAATGTCCAAATGCTACAATGAGCATTTCCTTTAAGCGTCATGTTGGTACTCTGAAAGTTTCAGACTTTGGAACATTTCAGATTTGGGATTGGGATCATGGATACTCAACCTGTTTTTTTATGCGTTTGTTTTCTGAGACAGAATCTCACTCTGTCACCCAGACTGGAGTACAGTGACACCATCTTGGCTCACTGCAACCTCCGCCTCTCGGGTTTAAGCAATTCTCTTGCCTCAGACTCCCGAGTAGCTGGAATTACAATGGCATGCCACCACGCCCTGCTAATTTTTTTTGGTTTTTGGGTTTTGTGTTTTGTTTTGTTTTGAGACAGAGTCTCGCCTTGTCACCCAGGCTGGCGTGCAGTGGCGCGATCTCGGCTAACTGCAAGCTCCACCTCCCGGGTTCACACCATTCTCCTGCCTCAGCCTCCC